AGTGATGTCAGAAGGTGTAGAGGTTGAGATAATAATTTCTGGACTTTTTCCTTTTTCAAGGTTGTTGGAAGAACTTTTTTCGATTGGGTCTACTTTCATGGTGTTGGTCTGTTCTGGGAGGGCAGTAATAAGAGGTTCCTTTACATAAGTAAAAGAGAAATCATTGTCTGAAGTCTGCAGTGTATTCTGTTTCTTCTTTGGTATTTTATCTGATATTGGTGAAGCCGAGCGGCCGTGGTTGGTATTCTTTCTTTCTGTTTTTTTGGGCATTTTTGTAAAAAGGGAGAAAGAGTTTTTTTTTTTTTTTTATATTTATTTATAAGATAAATTGTATTCTTTATTAATAACTTTATTTTACTAAAAATAAGATATGATTAGTTTAAAATTTAGGAATTACTAAATTTATATAAAGTTAGCAAGTTTAATATCATTTTTTTGACATTTTATATTATTTTTAATTATTTTTTCCTTTTTACACTTTTTACACTGGTATAAGAAAATATATCATAAAGGTATAAGAAGGTAGCTGTTAAGCCCAAAATGTGGATATTGAAACTCTGATTTTAGTCACGTGTAATATAATTAATATATGAAAAATTTTTGCTTAAAGTAAGTGAAACTTTATTAATTTTTCAGATACATAACTAATTTGAGATAGTGAATGAAATGTATGATGCTATCAATGAATGAGAAAGTATGTGAATCCTAGGCTATTTAATGCGAGTCTTACTATCAAGTTATTTCTTTACTTTGGTAAATTTTTATAACTAATATATTTCTATCAATATTACTAAATACGAGATTCTCATCCTTATATTCTTTTATTACACTAGATTTTCTAAATAAATTATCCCTCATATCTACGGAAATTTTGTACTCGTGATGATGATCAGAGATTTTTTCAGCAAAGATTAAAATGCTGATATATAGTAAAAAAAGTATTGTGTCCAGTTTATTTTAGAACATCTGTAGAAGCGAGAAAATTGATTAACATTATGATGACATAATTCAAGAAGCTAGCTAAGCAATAAACTAACTTACTTTATTATTTACTTTGCAAAATATATGGATTTATTTGATTGTAAATATTGATGATGCAAATAACAGCAGTTTTAAATTTATTAAATTTATTATAATTTTTGCTTTATTTTTCCTTGATTCTTGCTTATATTCGTACAAGGCAGATAAAAAAATTTACTAACTAGGACATCACCTTTTTATACAATTTGCAGAATTAATCTTGAAATACACTTAGAAAAATTATGTTAATATGATCACATCACGAAAATCTGATCAACAGCATCCCCTTAATTTAATAATAAAAGATCATCAAGTGGCTATACATAATTTTGAGAATGTGCAAAATAAATTATTTTGCGCAATTACTTATTTTTGTGATACGTATGATGTCTTTACTAAATGTTACTATGCATTTATTTATCATATTCTGGATTGATATACGCTTCTCACAATCTTATTTATATCTGAATTTGACAAATTAATTGTTCATACAAGGTCAAAAAAAAATTCTTTTATTAATGATATTATCTTACTGTGCATTTTTTAGATGTTCGCGAACTGAAATTTATTTTTTGTGATCAGTAAATCAATAATTACATAAAAAACACATAGCTACATAATAGAATATTTCTATTTATGCTAAGGAGTATCATATCCCACATCACTATCTTCATCGCTAGGACTCAGATTCTCAATTTTCTCATTAAAGGCTGTAATATCATTTGAAGTTAATGAGATAGAATTATTTCTATTGCCTTCATCATAGTCATGAAAACTCTCGACATCAGAATCAGGATCAGAAGGTGAGTTTTTAGCTTTTCTTTTACGATCTAGCATTTTGTCTTGAGTATTACTTTCTTTGTGTTTATTTAAGATTTTCTTCGATATGAAATCTTTTATCACATATATCACATTAATTTTGAACAGCTAAATACAAAATGTTATTTCATTAGCATAATAATTTATCAATTATTATTTAGACCTGAAAATTATGAAACGTCTATCTTGGATTACAAGATGAATTTTATTTGGATCTGAATTATTAAAATGCAGTCCAATCTTTCTGAATTCTTCTATAATTCTGATACCTTCTGTAACAGACTCAACAGTTAAGTCAGCATTTTAAAGTTGTTCAAGCACTGCCCTATTATTACTAAGATTGATATCTACTAATCATAGCTTGATGCTGAAACTACCATATTCAAAAGTACCTCTCTGATTTTCCCTTATGGCTTTTCAAAGGTCACAAATAAAATCATTTTTATCGATTTTAATTCTGAACTGGCCTTTAATAGAATTCTCTTTAACAATACAATTGAGGGTAATTTTAGTACTTTCAGTCATTCCTTTATACACAGGTAAACCTATTCTTGAAACTAGTATATGGGGCCTTTACAATAGAAAAGAAGAAAACTCCCTCGAAAATGAAAAATGAGTTTTTGCTAAATTTGGATATATTTCTGCATAGGCTACATTTTTCAATTATAAATATAAGTTAGTTTGCATAATAAAAAATTCGATAAAAGTAAATATTACACTAAAATAATTGACATCTAAAAATAGTAAGAAGTCAATACAAAGTTACACTAAATGATCAGAATCTAAAAATAGATTCGTAACACAATTTTCTTTGTAATAGAAAGGGAGGAAACTCTATTTTTGATAGCTTTGATAGTTAATATAAAAAAATAAAAAAGTCACAATATTCACGAACTTTCATTTTAATAACTAAAAATAAGAGAAAAAAAGTTAACTTAACTAAGAAGAGTTTATTGAAAAGGATGGAAAAACTTATTTTAGAGGTGAAATTGCTTTACAATTAATCAGTTTTAATAGTGAAACCCAAAGGCAAAATAAAGTTGACTGAATTAAAGAAAATGCTTCGAATTTTAATATTGTGATAGATGATAATCTGAATATTTGTAAAAGCATAGTAAGTTGTCAAGAGTATTTGGAAGATAAAGTCTATTCATCTCGGTTTTAAGGACTTGTTTGCTTTCTCTTTCAGTTTTAATTATTCTTTCGTAGTATTCTTTTCGGTTGTGGTAAGGATCAACCCATTTCTTTTTAAATTTTCCTTCTCTTTGTTGACCTTTTTGCTCTAACTCTTTAATTATCTTATCTCTTTGACTTACTCTCTCAATGAGGATGGGTTTCACTTTTCATCTCTTCTAAGCCTTTAAAAGTGTTTAGTGATAATCAGGAGGGAAACCTCTAAAGTGAAACGATGTAAACCCCGCTCGCAAGCAATCTAAATTTTAATTACCTGAGTTATGAACTGCCATTTCAAAGTGGGTTTAATATTTTTCTTTGAACCAGTACTAGCCACTCTGTTTTTCTTTTCTTTTTTTAGGATTCAGTTTGGACTTTCAAGCGGACTTACGGTAAGTTTTTTATAGGTAGGCGGGTTAATTCTTCTTTTGAAACGGTACTAACTATTTTTTCTTTCTTCTTTTTTTTAGAAATTGGCTTGGACTTTTTCTCAAAACGGACTAGTGGTAAGTTTTTTATAGGTGGGTTGTTAATTCTTACTTTTGGAACGATACTATCTTTCTTTTTTTTTTAGGAATCAGCTTGGACTTTTTCTCGAAACGGACTAGTGGTAAGTTTTTTATGGGTGGGTTGTTAATTCTTTCTTTTAGAACGGTACTAACCATTTTTTTCTTTTTTCTTTTTTTTAGGAATCGGCTTGAACTTTCTCTCAAAACAGATTTGTGATAAGTTTTTTATAGGTGGGGTTATTAATTCTTTCTTTTGGAACGGTACTAATCATTTTTTTTAGGAATTGGCTTGGACTTTTCTCGAAACGGACTCGTGGTAAGTTTTTTATGGATGTATTGTTAATTATTTCTTTTGGAATGATACTAACCATTTTTTTCTTTTTTCTTTTTTTTAGAAATTTCTCTCGAAATGGACTCGTGGTAAGTTTTTTATGGATAGGTTGTTAATTCTTCCTTTTAGAACAGTATTAACTGTTTTTTCTTCTTTTTTTAGGAATCGGCTTGGACTTTTCTCAAAACAGACTCATAGTAAGTTTTTTATAGATGTGTTGTTAATTCTTTCTTTTGGAACGGTACTAACTATTTTTTTTTAGGAATCAGCTTGGACTTTTCTCGAAATGGACTTGTGGTAAGTTTTTTATAGGTGTGTTGTTAATTATTTCTTTTGGAATGGTATTAACCATTTTTTTCTTTCTTTTTTTTTTTAGGAATCGGCTTGGACTTTCTTTCGAAACAGACTTGTGGTAAGTTTTTATAGATGGGTTGTTAATTCTTTCTTTTGGAATGGTACTATCTTTCTTCTTTTTTTTAGGAATTAGCTTAGACTTTTTCTTGTGGTAAGCTTTTATGGGTAGGCGGGATTCTTTCATTTAGAATGATACTGTAACCGGATTGGATTGACGAACGTGACGCAGCATATTGCAGATCTAAATGTCAAACATATTTGATATATTTGATATATTTGATATACCGGATATATTTGATATAATTGATATCTTGAACATATCGGACATATAAGATATATTTGATTTATTTGTTATATCCATCTATGTATTAATTTATTATAAATAGAGAGCAATAGAAT